CTGAAACAAATCACCCACTTCAAGGTGCACTGCCTGAGTGTGTATCAACACCCTCAACCAGACGCAAGTATAGATATATTTTTGTCCACACAAGGGATTACCACTCATCCGTCGTTTCATAACTGGCGCACAATTTGTGCAATCAGACATCAGTTGTCCTGAAGCTTAAAAACAAATTTGCATCGTAACCAAACTGCTGTTTATGCCACTTGATACTCAAATTGTGTTTTTAGTGCTTTATTTCTTTTATTATGCTGAAAGCGTGTGTGTAACAGCTGAATGCTTACCATTATGTACGCATAAAGCACTTTCCTGAAGTGTATTGTATTGAAAAAATTTGCATTTCTATACATAACTTGTGTTCATCAGGATGAAATATAACCCAATGAATCGGTCGATTCCAAAGGTTAACTGGCGAACTCATCGTTTTTGTCATGTGAGTATTTTGGCCAGTTCTACAGTATTCTCTCAAATTTGTTGATAAACTTCTTGGGGATTTCGATATTTTCATTTCGAACACAAAATCTGTTCAGTGCTAGCAGTTCCATCAGGACAATCTTGTTGTTCTACTATACTTGTGTGCTCCGATTCGATGCTTGTTAAATTTGATGAGAGTATTTGTACGCTTCGCTCTCAGTTTAATTACTGATTCAGATGCAGTGTGCTAGATAATTTGACGGACTGAGGAAATACATTATGAAATAGTTTATTACTAACAAACTTTAAATATTGCAACATGAATACCAGCTACACGAAATAGTAGTTCAGCTCATGGGGAATGTATTCATAACGAGAAAAATTGTTGGGTTCCTGAGAATGACTTCCCCATCGTATGCTGATATTGTAAACTAGCGTGCTGATTGATGAATCCATATTTATTCAGCCGTCGAATTCACAGTTAACATCATGTGTCCAGCCAAGTGGTAGTGAACTCTTTGGATCACATGTAACCGCCACAATGCAGACGTCAATGTTTGGGTAATCGTTTCACGTTTTCCCGAGTTCTTGTACCTTTTCTATTCTGTGCGCAAGAAAGAGTCTCGTTAGCTTATTCATATAAGAAACATTCCACTGTGCAGTGAAATACTTTCTACAAATATTGGCACATTAGCTTTCTAGTAGGCGATATTTTGCTATTTGTGGACCTTAAGTTAACCGATGTAAGCATGCAGTTGGTTGTAGGGAATTCGTATCTACTAGAAGCTCAATCTTCTTCGGTGCGTAAAGACGCATTCCAGAGATGACTCGACGTCAACTTGAAGTGTTTTAATATTGGGTCACAAGCTAAGGCGTGTAAGCTTGACCTTCATTGCCGGGACTCACAACGCCCCTGATCAATATGACAAACCTAATTTCGTTGAACAGATGCAGCCAAACATGTAGACACGGCTCGTCGCCGTCACACTTTCTTCAGTGTACCGGAGTTGCTTCGTCTCAGCTGTGCTATGGGACGACTACAGAACTAGGAAGCTAAGAATCTGTTGCTGTGTACTCGAGGAGCTATTGGTATTGGAGCAGGCTCACGTATCACATGGATATTAGGTGTTGATCGTCCGACAACTCTGCACTCTAATGCCCCTTTCAAAATAGTTTGACCTTGAATCCCGGTTGTTTTCAAACCTTTCTGAAACCACGAGTTCTCGATCGGTTCCAAGTGTTTTCCAAGTTGTTGAGAGTCAGCTGAAACCTATTACCTAAGCCACTGAGTCGCAGCGGTCAGCGCTTTCACCTTTCGTCTAGCAGCCATTGTCTACGATCCGACTGTCCGCCTAGGATACAATGACTTACTATGTCTTTGAGATAACCAACTGTGGGTGTTCTTGGATTTGCATTTGGATGATTCAAAAATCGTTTGCTTGCATTCCCGTTTAGAGAATGTTCATAGTGAGGAAAGTGTGGATAAGTGGGAAATAACGGAAAAATTGTGCAAGGTGTGATTCAAAATAAACACTTTTAGATAGCTGAAGTGAAAAACTAAGGATATTAATTTCGGTAGACGTTTGCAGTACGCAGCGAATGGTCAGTTTGAATAAAAATCTCCACTTTTTGGTATTCCCCAAAGAACAGCGCGACCAGCTAGTTGGAGATGAAAAGCCCCAGCCGGCATCTCCATGTACAATGATTGTCTGACAGATGTATTATTCTAGAAATAATATCGGGTTGGTTTGGTAGACACTTGTAGCTAAACAAAGTGAAGAAAATGGATTCCACTGTGATCAGGATAATTTAAACTGCAGAGCTTCGCCTTAGCTGGTGAAAATGGTACAAACATTCGGTTTTATGGAGGAACCTGTTTTCTTCGTCTCAAAACGCAGGCTTTTCATGTCAACCTCTTCATCGCTACAAGACGGTTAGGAGGCTAATATGTAGGCCAACACAAAGTGTGTTACCTGGGGGCTGAGTGTAACCAATGACCGTGTTTATCGTTCATTTACACAAACACACGTTGCGTTCTGGACTCATCTTCTTCCGTCTTTTGTAACCGTCATTTATGCAGTTCTCGGAGGTGAGAAATTAGTTCTGAAAGCATCGTAAGTTAACATATATGCACAAGTATTGGTTACATCGCTGCCAACATGAGTTCAGGTCCTCCAGCTTGCTGAGCGGGTGCGCCTACCTTTAACTGGGTTCAAACAGTGTACAATTTTATATTCTTTTTTAAACCGTAGGTAGTTGCCGGACAGCATTACGGATCAATGCCCTCACACGTACAGTAGATGTGCAGAAAATATTGCAAAAATTCAAACCATACAATATCACAAAGTATGATATAACGTGCTGGCCCCTGTCCCTAAGGACCACAACCGGTCTTGTAATCCGAGGGCGCTGGTTCGAGCCTGCATAGGGGACTAAGTGACTTTCGCAGTATCCTTAACCGATGTGCGGATGGTAGTTGTTACGCTGGAGCAAAGCGTCAGCACTGCGGACCAGCGTACTTCTGATGCCCTCTTTCTTTATGAAATAACTCAATACCGCCCTTTGGCACATATACTCCATGGTCAATAGAACTACAACAAATGAATTGTCTGGAAAACGAACTATTCAGGCAACGAGCCACGATCCCAGAGGACAAGACTAATGGCTCAGTGTACGGATGGGAAAGTACAAATTTCGGCTGTATCATACTCCAGGTCGCATGTTGACTTGTTTGAAAATTAGAAAGGGAGGTGCAGAAAAGGCCAAACACAAAGACGTAGAGCAATGCGTAGTCCAGAAACCGCCGGTCAACCTAACAAACTATGGGTCATAATCACGAGTCTTTTACTAAAAAGCTCACATATTCGTCATAAACAAAAGGACGAATCTGAGAAACGTATCATATGTGGACGTGAAATAAAATGGCTAGACGCAGTAATAATCGGGAGAGATGAAAACAGAAATATTTGCTACACTCGTACCAGGAACGCAAATCGGAAAACATCATCTCACATAAAAAGTTATGGTATTCGCCGACTTGCCTTTACGGGAAGTCTTTCATCGGGTCCTTCGAGTTCCAATGAGGATAGTGACTCGATGGAATGGCTTTCTCTGGGAAAAAGCGTACTGCCGCTGAACGATGGCAGTGGTTGCTTGGAAGCGAAAACAGATAAAGAATACAATGGTTTTAAGGCTTCATGTTAGGCATTATAATTACAACACCTCTTTCTTGTTGTTCCGCACTTGCGGTTTACTACTGAGTAGTAGGGATCTTGGTATAATTTAAGGTATATCGTCGCAGTACCCTTTTGGTCAGTAGGTTTTGATACGTCTGGAAGCACACCAGGCAGTTGTTTTGATCATCTGTCAAGTTGGTTGTGCGCCTTCCTAGGATAAGTGCCGGGATCCGACCCCAGGACTTCCGGATGCTACCAGCTTGTGCCACTAAGCCTTGGGAGACGGCTGCTGAGGTGCATTACTGATATTTGACTACGATATAGCATGTCTCAGCCTCAACTGCCAAGCCAGTTGTGAGCTGTGCAGAGGAGAGTGGTTGGCCCCACGGAGCTAGAACTTTCCGCATAGCGACTATGCACGACACAGCATTTAGAAGCTTCGCGGACGGATTTTGTATTATCAATGAGTAGTGGGGATTTTGATATAACTTTAGAGGTATTTCGTCACAGTCTTTCTCAGTCGGCAGGCTTTGACACGTCTTCAAAAGCATCAGACAGCTCCTACGACCTTCTGGGTCTCGTTAGTAGTGCGCCTTCCTCGGGTTCGGATTCGGTAAATTCCAGAAGACAGTAGCTGGTGCTAGCTAGCGCTATTGAAATGGCAAGGAAAGCTGAGCCTGGCTATATTGTAGTCAACTGTCAGTCATGCAGCTCCGCGGTCGCCACCAGTGTCTTAAAGGCAATAGCTGCTAGCATCCGGAGGTAATGGGGTCGGAAACCGGCATGGATCTAAAGCATGCGCAATAGTTGAGGTTTAGTTCGCATTGAGTGTTATACTCGATACGTTAGCTTAGAGTGCATCATCGACGGCAACTTCTGGTGATATGCGGCTTCCACCGGAAGAATGGTAATTCGTTTCCATTTCGATAGAAGGGAAATTCTGGACCACATCTGTCTGGTAACCATACCCAGTGTCTGCAAGGCAACAGCCATTTCTTGCAAACTGATAACTCGCGATTGACTACATGTTTAGAAATCAGCCAAATACACAAATGAACAGTGAGAAGACAACTGCAGTTAATAGTTCAGTATGTAACTCCGGAAGATGATACATGCCAGCCTGATCCCATTTTATATAATTCTGGTCCCATTTTCTTACCTTGTGAAACTGACATATGGGAATTGTCGCAGTGAAGATTGTTGGCAGTGTTATGGGGAAATTTTAATTTGAGGTCAAAGCGTTTCATGTGGGGTAAGGTTACAGATAATTCTTAGTGATCACTCTGGATAAACATGCTCTCTGGTTACACATCTCTTAATTTCAGTGTTAATTTTTCACCTCATAATATCAGCTTCGTCCAGGGCTCAGATTATTTAAAACTACACCACTTGTGCGGTGAGGGAATTTCAAGATCAGTGATGTGGGACGACGTGGTAATTTTAATGCACCGGTTTGCTTATCATAGTATAATGTATAAGCGCTGTGATTCGCTAACCAAAAGAGTGCTAATGCAAGGTCACAAGATCCAGCTGAGAGGGTATGTGTCCAGATTTCATGCGATCTTCCAATGCTGTGGTAAGTTGAAAAATCTCTGGACACAAGCGATGTGCATATGCTGCTGGCTTTTAACTGATTTTCGCCTTTCGCGAGCAATCTAATTATTTTTGTGGATGTACGCCATTTCACGGTGAATTAAAAGCAAATGAGAGAATAGCGAAAGGAAAAGTCAGAATTGTCACTAATGCCTGTAGGCAAGAGAGTGACACGTGGTAGGACAACAAACAATGTTTCCTGCACTGGAGGAAAAGTTAACGCAGCGGGTTATGGAGTCACGGTACAGCAGGGTTAATTGTAACCCGAACGTAGGTTCGGATCAGAGCGCTCACAATGCGCACAATGCGCACCGTCTAATTTAGTCTTGAAGAAGGGTGGCAATGTGAAAAAGGTTGACATTGTTACACTTGCAGAGTGGATGAAAGAATCGTGGCTGGATATTCCATCAGAAATTATCGTACGATCCTTGAAAAAGTGCTGCATCAGTAATGCTATGGGTGGAAGGGAGGACGGTGCCATTTTTGAGGAATAGGACAATGACAAGAGCAGTGAATTTGAGGAAAATGACATTCACCTCGTCGTCCCAACGACAGACGACCATTACCAGAAACTGTTTGGATATACTGACTCGGATTCTAGTTTCTAGGTTTGATTAATTTAAATACCATTGTGCAGCGTTTGGATATGTGATCCCATAAAATCTACAGCTACGTGCTGTTCTGTCATGTCTATTTTCCCATATTATTGACTAAATAAATAAAATTTCATTATCATATGTTTCAAGGCACTCCATATCGAGTATGATCAAACATGTACAAGTAATGAGGTTTCGCAAAGTTCAGGGTGGTTTACATGCAGGAACGTGAAACGTAAAATTTACTCGTGAGAAGCGACCTAGTTAGTGCTGTGTTGATAATGAGGGATGGAATATGTTTAACGAAGGCAAGTAAACTTGTGCGTGTTTGAATCAGAATTAGTGGTATGTGAAACAGGGAGACTTGAGAGTGTAATGCGAACGGCAGTGACTTTATTTGGTGACGAGTCTCATCCGCCACGTCGCAGTGTTGTTAAACAGACATTTGTGTGATGCTGTTCGATTATGTATAATCAGTATGTTTCTGTTACTTCCGTCTGTCGCTGGAGTTATATGTGCAACATACCGCTAATTTTCGACATAAACATACTAATGAGTAGGATAACGTTTAATTTTAACTGTAATCTTTTCGTCCCAGCTGATCACAAGCTACAGAGCACAGATTAGTTCGGAAAAGCACCAGACGCGTTTCGTCTTATTAGGGCTCCTCAGTGGTGTGCATCCTCTCGGTCCCTTACAGGGGCTCGAACGCATGAGCGTTAGAAGCAGATGTCAACTCGCCAGCAGCTTAAGCCACTGAGCCATAGGATACGTCGGCTTGGCTACACAATTTGCAAGCTAACTGGGATAAATCGCGACATGTCTTCCACTGCTACGCAGGTTACTACCTTAACAGATGACAGTGGCTAGCCTCCGAAGGTCACGACTTCCTCTCACTAGACGCCACGTCCACAGCATTTGAAACTAGGATAGGCTACACATTTTAGTACTAATGATTAGGAGGCTCTTTTATTGTAAAGTACTAACCTACGTGAGAATGGAAGATAGATCGTGCTATATCCCAGTTAGCTTGCAAATTCTTTAGCCCAACCGACGTCACCCATGGCTCAGTGGGTTAAGCTGCTGGCTAGTTAGCATCTGCCTCTAGCGGCCATGGGGTCGATCCCCAATGGGGTACCAAGGGAATGCGCACCAATGACGAGCCAAAATAGGGCGAAACGCGTCTGGTGCTTTTCCGAACTAAGCTGTGCTATGTAGCTTGTGAGCAGCTGGGACGAAAATATTACAATTACCAATATAATATGTCTACATATAGGCACTTCAACTCCCCGCCAAGGATTCCATCCGTCACTAGGGAGTGGTGCTAAGGAGAGATATGGACGTAGGCGTGCAACGAATTACGGTGGATTTTGCATGCGGTTTGTTCAAATTGTGCGTAACATTTATCTAAGCTGACACCCCCCAATATGGACTTGGAACATTGTCCAAAAGTACTCTGCTTATACATGGTAATATACGGTAGTCACCTGTGACCACCACATGCTCCGCGGACAGGCCGGAGGTACGTTCTGTGCCGCGAGTGTGCGGTCATTGATGCGCGCGCCGATGTGTTTTCGCATAACGCAGTCATGATTAGATGGGGTCACCAGTTACGGCTTGGCAACCTGTTTGACTACTCTGCGTCGGTTACTCTTACCCAAACGGCTAGCTACCCTTAAACGCTACAGTCGAGTGCCTAAGGTCAACTGCAGCATTTCAGTAACAGCACTGGGTTTTATCCATTTGCATAGGGATATTTTCACATGGATAAGTTTCTTCTGAATATCGCTGCATCATTGGATAGGATAATGATCACCACAATTGTCATCTGGTCTTTGACACGCGGTTTCTGAAATCGCCAGCCTTCCACTCTGAATTCACGAAGGACATGTATTGGCACGCACATAAACTACACAAGTCCGCATCCTCTAATTACTTCGCGCTAAATCCAAATTCGTTCTGGTTTGGACTCAACAAACAAGGAGAACCACGATTGGGTGTTAAAAGTTTGGCAAAATGATTTTTGGGACAATTCCTTCAACCCTAGAATTTCATGCTGCTCATGGGTTGCGGGTGCTAGAATGCTAGTGCATGATTTTAAAAATGAAGCTAGGCTGTCAGTTGAGTCAGTACTCTGGGTGTATATTGAATAACGTACCATATTGTAGATGTGAATTGTGTTATTTAGACCCAACACATGCTTACCTGATGGAAGCAAATGGTACAAGCATAGTGCACAGCTTTGAGTCAACGTACTAATAATAATAATAACAATAATAATAATCGCCAGCTGTGCGCCGTAACAGCGCTTCGCAGCAGCGCGACAACCAACAATCGCTTGCGGGTTGTGTATACCGGATGGACGCAAACGACTACGCGGTTTCGAACCCGGTGACCTTATGCTTGTAAGCCAGGCGTGCAGACCACTGCACCACCTACAAACTTAGGGTCAAAGTATAAGGAATGGTCGTAGGAGACCGCTTGTGCATACCTGATTTAGATTACGAATATCCACGTGGCTTTGTTGCGTTATGCCTAAGGGACCGCTTTCTTTTGGTCTCTGGAGGCGCCTCCGCAAGGCGTGTAGAGAAGGTAACATCTTCAATCCTTTTTCCTTCAGCAAACAGCTGTGGACGAACAGTGTGAAACCCTGGGGTGGTGCAAACGGAAAGATTGTGCCATCAGTCTTACGAATGCATTGCGATGAATCAATTTCTACTATAAAACAAAGAGCTGCGCAATACTCGCTACGAGTCTTAGAATGGGTTTTGGGGTGCATAGGTGGAATACAGATTTTCAGAACTCGATAGGCTGCATTGACTCCTGCAATTGATTCAAACAGTTGTGATATTCCGCAACCTAGGAATCCGGTAAGATTCCGAATTGAATCCTATCAGTGTAAAGATGGGTGAACATTGCGTTTTGAATATCTTAAACGAGAAATCAAAATTCATAGGTTACCGTGCTCGGTGGTTTTCTCCCAGGTTGATGCATTTTAAAGAGCTTACTTTGGTACCATGGGCCAAAAAGGTTATAATTGTAATCTTCTAGCAGTTATCCGAAGTTGTCCGAGCTTTTGGCGCAATATTCTACAAAGCATTAGTCTTACACTGTGAATTTGAGCGACGGATACAGAATGTTGGATTTCATCCACACAAACAAGCACATGTGAATGACACCACAGTTGGATCCCTCGCCCAGACGTAACTCGTGCTGTGCAATTACGCTTATGAAGCCAAAGTAGTGTTGTACCGGCTCGGAACTGCTGTATTCTCTGTCCATAAGCGTTCAACTGGATATTCCTGTTGAGAACGCAATGTGGTGCAGACGAATGGTGCAGCAGAGAACCCATTTCTGGAAACCGGTCCGTTTGCGGCTTTCCTTCCTGCTATCTCTCTGACTCCCCGATCTGTTACGTCGTTACACTCACAACGTCTCGGTGAAGCTTGATTAGTGCTCCACGAATCCTTTATCCTCAGCTACCTATGTTTTCTCTGATTTCCTCACGCCTGCGCATCACTACAATTGAACCACACAACTAGCGGTCTTCTGTGGGTTCAAATAGTAACATTCGGTGCTTGGAAACTATAAAGTATGTCAATTGACACGAGCCAGCCGCTGCATCATAGAACCGCGTCGCTATTCGATGTGGTATCTACTGTTTTTGACACCATCGATAGAATGTTCCAATGAAAAATGCATACACTATTTGCCTCGTGTAACACTGTCTAAAATAATTGGTGCGAAACACCAAATGTTTCCTGAAGGAATCCAAGGACCAGTGAAACGGTAAACAGTGAATTCATGTTCGTGTCCAAGAAACGTCATAACCTGTGGTTATTCAGTTTGCTGAGGCTCACACACGCCAGTTACCTTAGGTGCATGTAACTTAATCGAAATGGACGAATCAGAAACAAATGGCTTATCTGGTTTTTAATGGATTGCGACGAGCCACATGAATTTAACCAAACCCCTCTTCTCATTAATCGCTGCCATCCTAAAAACAACGTATGAATTCACAGCTATTAAGAAAGAAGTCTTGACACTCGACGGCTAAACACTTTTCTCCTCAAGGGTGGTGACCTGCTTAACAGTGGATGATGGGTTGCACTATCTCGCAGCAAGATTTTTATTTATGATACTCAGCTGTTGTCCCCAATGGCTCAGTGTCACCAGCTGCTGGCTAGTGGTGGAAGCCACCGGCGTTTGTGCGTTCGGTTACCTGAAGGGAATTGAGGTTATGCGCACGACGGACGAGTCGCGAGAGGATGAAGCGGATGTCTGGGTTGGTAGGTGGCTTATCTGGCTTGCCATCGAATTTCGGTGAACTAACTAAAGCAACATTATTCGTCCAAGCAACCGTTGAGTCCACTATGTATGATCAATATAGTGGGAGAAGACGCCTTCGATTGATCCATGCGACTAACAGAGAAGGCATGGTGATAAGGACCCACTACGTAAACACTACTTTGGCCTTGAGCTGCATTTTCAAATACAAAGAAAGCTACCACTGTAAATTCGTATATTACTTCACAGGCAAATGCTTGCGTATTAGCAAAGATTCTTCACACAGAAGACAAGTACGGTGAACCATCAGCCTAGTACAAACAACTCACTTGAACGGTGTTGCAGACTACAAGACTGGTCACCACTATGCTCATTTGTTTGCCAATGTGTCCATTGTGTATGAGAATTCCGCCGAGAATTAAACTATGTAGGGTGTTCATGACGACCCCCAAAACCTCCGTCCAGTACTCAGTTCCGAATAGGTATAGATAAGCGGAGATGAGGATCAATGTGACTAATCCAATTGTGACATTTGGGATTGCCCATATGTTGCGAATATTTGTGGGAAGACAACTAGAATGAGAATGAAGGTGGTTCTAGGTGACTATTATCGCATGCGGTGACGTAGCAACAGAAAACGGAACACACAACTCCACTTTGATATGAAATAGTTAACGAACCACGAATACTCAATACAACCCTGACGCCAGTAACACCTATTTGGGCATACGTACACACGAATTTAACACGTATAAAATTTCCATTTTACTAATGAGTGGAAAGATTTATGAGGAAATTATACCTAGTCATCCCGCCAGCTTACAACTTAGATAGATCGACTGCTGATCCGGTAAAGCACCAGACAATATGCCAATTGGACCTCGTCAGTGGCTCGCATCATCGGGTTCCATCGGGAACAGAACTCACAACCGTTAGCAGCTTGGGCAACTTGTCAACAGCTGATTCCACTGAGCTATGGGTTTGGAGATAGCCGGCCATCAAGTCTTACAATATAATTGCGCTGCAGTTATTACACTCGCATAGGACAGCGGCTGGCCTCCAAAGAACACGACATCCACTCACAGTAGCTATGAGGATATGGCATTTGGAGGTTTCTATGGATAAATTTTGCCTAATAGCTGCTTAACAGCCAGTCGAACTAATTAGTAGGATCTAAAACTTTGTTGTTTGTATTACGAACAAGTGATTCTTGATTTCGGAAATAAGGGAAATAGGAGGACGGAAAATGCGTGGACAGAAGATTCCAGGTTAAAATAATTCCAACCCCAACACCCATGGATCTGATGGACTTGAAGGAAATAAACGTCTGTCATGGAGTCACATTTAGTTAAAGGCAGCAAAGCATGGAATTTGATCACATTGTGCTCTTCTCACTTGAAATAGCACGTCGTCAAGTTAAACTAGAAGGTATGCAGATGATACTGGCCTAAAGAATCAGGCGATCAGAGGACAACCAAAGCATATTGCGGTGATGGCAATACAAGCTACATGAAGCACCAGTCTTGGCTCGTTCGTGATTTATTCATCAGCACTCTTCATCTCATGCAAGGAAGTTGAACGCGTTTTCTCCAGACACCCCAACAGCCTTCGTGAAATGTGGCGTATGCGTGTACGAACTTGTGCACTTGCGCAATTGGGCACTGATTTGATTTCCTAATGATCCAGTTTAGAGAGAAGTTGGTGCGATTCCCCGCTGCTGCTGGACAATACATTCAGCGAACAATATGGGTGGAGGCAGTTGTGAAGACAGCAAGTGTAAAGATTCGTTCGAATGTGTCAGGCGGATTCATTGGTGATGTACATTTAGCTGTGACTATGGACCAAACCGTAGGGCGAATGAGTCCACGCAGCAACCTGAATACACTGGACTGATTGCACCCGTGAGCCTTGGCGCCATAGCGACATCCGAAATACCGGTTCAAAGTAGCTGTTTGTCAGCAGCGGTGGCGAAACGTGTGCACTATTCGTGATAGCGCTACCCACTGCTTCGGGCATTCGAAATGCCGGGAACCAGCCCTTAGTTAGCAAACCGGATACGCGCTTTGTTGTAGAACCCGCAGGTATCAACGTTTCGCAGTATGTTGCTTACGAATCAGCCGCATACCACATCTACATCATGCCAATGCCAGCAAAACGAGAGGGTTTATCAACCCGTGTGCGCGCTGGTGGCGAAAAGGCTAGTTGTGAAACAATCGTAATGTCTATTCCTCTACATCAAAGTACATTCCCATCTTTTCGCGGCGTACACCGGGAGAGTGTTACAAACAGTGAACCAGTAGTTATCGATGCTACGATAGCAGTTGAGGAGCTATCTAGCTACTGTCAGCCGCAATGCCACCAGCCTGTGATTGACTACAGATATGATGTTAGATAGTCAGAAGGTCTTAGCAGTTACGAGGTAAAGAATGACCTATGTTTGCCGAACCCAACAAACGTGATTCAAGTATTGTCAGCAAAGATATGTTGACAAATCCATATTACATGTATGATTGTACATACTGGATGGGCTTACTTTATGTTGAACATCTGATAAGGTATGATGATATGGAGGAGAGTAGCCTCGGCACAGCTCAACCCTGTGAAATGAGGGATGTCCAGTGTTGAACACATAGGATTAGAATGCTAGCGTGGTAAATAACATGGGATTGTGTAGCAAAAGCCCGTGTCCACTCTCTCAGCCAGTGAATAAAGCAACAGTTTGAATGGGTGTGGTCAACTTTAAAAAGGAATCTTATGGTTTTAACAGACAGATTAGATGTAGTGGTACAACTCTGACTGCCCGAAAACGTCATGATCTCCTCAGTTTCAACGTCCAGATGGACAAAACGAATGAGCGCATGGTTCATTGGAAACAAGCAACCAATTGCTAGGTGTTTTTCCGGGTTAGCATCCAGTAGCTACACGTAAAAACTCGCAGTGGTGCACAGCGGGGTCGCTCTGTTCACCTCTCGTTGCATATACACTTCTAACAATCTGGTCTGGTTCCTTTTTGAGTTGTTGTGAATATTGCTGCCGTCTGGTTTGGACTCGTCAACCCCTGAATAACACATTCAGATTCAGATGCGACTGGAAAGAATAAAAAATCCCTTGAGTGTTCCTTCTTGAGCGGCTCGTTGAGCCAGGGAATGAGAAGGTGCAAGCAGGTCTTGATGGATCTAAAAAGAAACACCAGAACCACACGCTGGTCAACCAATTACTGCTCACGTTCCTTGCACTAGCAGTCCTCGCTGTGTAGGTCACGTGAAGTAAGGAAGCGGTAGAAAGTAAGTGGTAGATAAAGAGGAAGGAAAGTCATGTAAATGAAGGAGAACACAAAAGATTGAGGAGAACGACAGAATATGAACTCAAAGTTGGAAGATGGATGTGGTCAGGAGAAGGGAAAGTTTTCCTTCATCAACTTAAGATTGTTACGTTTAAGAAGCGGTACACATTGTCGTACGGCTTGCATTGGAGCTGGTTTGACCAGCTAGGCTAGCAAATGCCTATCGTTTGATAAAGCAGGCCCATAACTAGTATTAAATATATGTGCGTGGAAGTGATCCTGCGTTTCCTTGAGTGGTACTCAAGTCTATTTGCATCATGGCTACATACCCAACACGCCTGTGAGATGCTACGTGACTTTACGTCTGGAAGACGTCTTGATCTGGTGTTAAGCGTTAGAAAATCTGCGTTGCTATTAGACCGTTATTTGCATGTTATCAATCAAGGACCAATTTACTGAGAATCTGATATATACTGCAACATGACACCCAGTGAGCCCCATTGGAATATTCACTGAGGTGATTCTTCCGATCTGAACCGGCGTGCAATCATGTAAACTTGAGGGTAAATTTCGCTTTTGCCTGTACTATATTGCCGGATTCTCGCACAATCTGACTGTATTTGGCGACGCATACCACAGAAAGGTATATCTGATTAAGTTGTCCGGTATTCAATTCTACCCTTAGACGAACTCTATGCTGAGAACTAATACAGCAGAATTATGCCGCAGTCCCAGTGTAGACCAACTGCAGTAGCTGTGAATAGTGAACGTTGATGGCATATATGAACGGTACTTAACCGCAGCTTCCAAGTCAGATAGTCCTCCGCAGACAAACGAAAAATCACTAGGCGGCCGTTTCGTTCCCATCGGACTTGTCACTTATGCATGTGCCTTGACTCCGTCTTGATACGAATCTAGGACCGCTAGTGGTTTGCGCCAATAGCCAAGATGTCCTACCAATGAGCCATGGGGAAGCGCTATGTGTCGCTGTGACTTGCAAGCTAAATAAGATGTGGCGTAACTCCTTCTCTACTGCCGCGTAAGCTAAAAACGCTGCAGTGGAATGCATTGTCCTCACGAGTCGTGGCTTGCACTAACGATGGAGGTGTGGAGGACTATCTGGCTTGAAGGTCACGGCGAGGAACATCCAATGAATTTGCTTGCACTAACTAGTTTTGTGCATCAGGATGAGTGGAGGCATCAGGTCGATTCGGTCAAGGCACACCAGCGCCCATGGGATCGTCTCAAGCACCACGTAGCCTCTCTCAATTATTGCAAATTGAATTAATCTAAACGGTTGCTTAGAACTCACACGTTACAGGAAAAGATCCCGCCTGAGAAGTCTGGTTGCGTTAAGTGTTCACTAGGTAATGGGTTTAGACTGCATTGTACTCCCCTTTATTTATGCACTTAATGCATGTGCTGAAATAAAACAGCAATATCTTTGCATCCAGCAATGCAACCCAAGGATTAAAGGTGAGCAAATGTTTAAGAATCCTTTGGACAAGAGTTCGTCAGAACCGGCATCTCTACATAGCAGAGGTTGTGTGGTGCAAGCATCGGATCGGGTTGGTGGTTGATTTCTAAGCTGTTTAAACATACTGAATGATAGAAAAGGGCAAATCGGTACGTGGAACGTAGTAGTATCCGTTGACCACAATGATAGTTACATCAGCCGTATGCGGAACCTGAGGTTGGTGTTGAATTCAGGACGCTTCTTCACCGCAGTTGGAATAAACAAAGCTAGACTTAATCTCGGTCTTTTTAATCTGGTTAAATATCATTCCACTTTATTTGTTTTGCTCAATTCTGTTATCCTGTTGCATATTGTGTGTCAGTTTTGCTTGTCTGCTTTCCATTAATTTCCCCGGTGTGTCTGCGCTCGATTTGAATGTTGGCAATGTGCCTAACTGTCTCACACCAATCCACCTCGATTACTAGTTCCAGGAGACCGTGAATCGTTGCTGGGCGGGGGAGGGGGTGCACGGTCCTCTCGGCCTTCCTAGACTCAAAGATTGGTTCCATCCAATGTGGAGCGGACTACCGTCCAGCCACGGACTTGTGTACGTCTGGCACGCATGATCCCCATTTAGATGGACAGGAATGCTCCTGCTGTGTATGTTGAAGGAATGTGGGCCGGCTCCGTTTCTGAAACGTGGCTACCATCCACATGTCTCCCGGTCTTATTCCTTCAGGTTTACACTGGATATGGGGTGTATGGATGGACCAGTGGGTAGTGCAGCGCAAGCCGCCCATGGTCCCTCTGAAGGCGCAGGCGTCCTGTGGCCGTCCTATGGAGGCCACAATGAGAGGCAAATCCGCAAACGGATGCACCAACCATGTGGAACCAACATACGCATAATCGGCTCCAGATTGAATGTATATTGCCTTGATAATAGAGAGTAGCTCTTTGCGGAATCCTTGCGGGAGGGCTTAAACGAATAAGTAAATACCGTTGAAGTCACTCGCAACTACTGTATTGTCATAAGCGAACAAGTGTAAATTAAACCATATGTTAGATGATCTCGTTTTACCAGTATCTGTTAACAAATTCTCTGGGATAGGCGCCACAGATTCATGCTAACTGATCAACACGCACAGAACTGGTCTGTGGGTAGGAAGTCTATCTTCTAATGGTTCATTAAGCAATAGCTTTTTGTAGTAACCATTTTCCAAATGGAATTAATGGGAATTATTGTCGCTCGGTGTAGAAAGGAGGGTGCTATCTTCTTCCTCGAGCTTTGGTACCTTAGTCGTAGACTTCTACTTGTCATGCTATACATACGCTGCTCTGGAAATCATGACCTCAGAGACATATTGACGATTTTGTTTAGGTCAGCAACGAAACACGCAGAAACAAAATTCCCGGCTCGAAAATCCACACAGCGTTTTCTCTAACTGGCCGCTGATCACATGTTCTTTCCAGCATCATTTATGCGTCTGGATAAGCTCTCATCGCTATGATGACATTTAACTAGCAAGTGCTTCAGAAGCTCTTACCGAAGTGGATTTTGTTTGTGTTGTCTCAGATGCTTCAGCGTACATTTATCCTGATATCCATTTTCCATCAGCGTTTTGTGAATTCTCTACACTTCATAGTCAACAGTATCCAACTCGCAACTACTCCGCTCCCTAAAAGCAAGTAATTGGAGTAAACTCCCCTTATATTGTAATGGCACTGCGCAAGTGTACTACCCAATCCATGTGTTTGTGGAGCACCTTTGTGCCGTAAGATCCTTCAACGGTACGAGCAACGTACACATGCAAGTAATTTAAATCGTTTACAGTGTTGACTTTCCTATGCGTTAAGCAGCTGTTGTTCCATTGGACAACTTTTGGGAGGCGTATAAAAGCTGAACTGACTACCTAATTATGCTATTAATCGCACTGCACTAGGCTTCTTGGGTGGATTCACCCATGACACATCAGTTATTTTTATAAGTTCCATTTGATTACCAATTCTCTAAAAATTGCATGAATGCAATTGTTCAACGGGTTGTGCATTCGTGACTACAGACATGGGAGGTAAGGACCGGATTGTTGATGGCTTCACTATGTCCATTTTTGGCTTAAGGAGGGATTCAGTGGAGAAATGCTCGTCACGCTTTTCCGTAAAAGGATAACTTGGATCCATTCAGGGCTAGGAACTACTAAGCAGCCGTGATCCCGTGAATCAGCAGATGTTCCACTTCACTTAGTAAACTGCCAGCGATTGGCCAAGCCAATCGCTCACTGAAATATCGTTGTTAGGCGGGGTATCAACTGGTCTCTTCTTGTACTTTAGATCATGTTGGGTAATCATGCATCGCGGTAGTTTATGTACCCAGCTTTGCGGCCCTAATCTATAAATGATTCCGTAATTAAACCGTAGCTTCTCTATCGGACTTCATCGGTTAATGTGTGTGTTTAATAGATGTTGTTTGGGTCACTTATTAGTTAACCGAATAATGCAGTCTTACTCACCATACACGCAAGCAATGAGCCGAAGAAGCAGCCCCATAGGCCTGTGGCTGCGTCGCAACACATATAACATGACCGCGTGCAACGAGTTCATAAGTTCGAATGCTGTGAAGACGCCGAGTTGAATGAAACCAGCAAACTGCGGGACGGGATGAGATATTACTTGGCTATTGAGTGCAGAATATAGAATAGGTACAAAAACATAAGGGCGATTCCCCAATACAAATGCCGTAATAGTTTGAAAGGGCGAGCAGTGTATTATTGGGAGGTAATGTGTCTGGATCGATGGAGTGCAATCGTTACTAGGGGTGTTACAGCATCGACAAACCCCTATACCATTCATGAGCTGTTGGTAAACTTAAAGACTAGTCTTATACCAGCTGATGGT